ATCAAACACAGGTGCACATTCTAGTGTATGTTTGTTCATAAAACAAAAGACAATTGTTGAAGAGTAAACAATTATTCAGAGAAGCCCTCTCAGATGGGCACAAGAAATCAAATAAAATCTGTAACAGAATTCATCCACAGATCATGTATAAAGTTCAAAGTCTATTCTCTTTGAGTTGTAGAATGGGGCATGTTCTTGGTCAATCTTCCTACAGTATACTCCATCCTTGAAGTAGCCTTCGTCCACCCAGTCCTGGAATAAAAGATACAGCAATATTGGTCAATGCCCATGTCAGACCACTCCAAACAAAAGAGCAATATTGAATCTGTCAGTATTTACATTTTTAAAACCATTTGAATATAAAAAGTAAAAAAAAAAAAAAACACACCTTTGAGTAATAAAAAATAATAATAATTTACTTGTGCAAACTGAAGTTTGATATTAAAGCACCGATAATGTCTTGCCTGCATCTGTTGGCTGCTGAAGGGCCCATAGAGCTCAGAGTTTTCCTCATTGTCCCATTTGTATTCCCACATGACCACATCATTCACTAGAGAGAAACACCGATCATATGACTGCTATTACTAAAGGGTCAGCCATGAATCATAATCACGAAAAACAACTGCCAATAAAATTCAGGAATCATTATTTGTTACAGTGACAAAAAGTTGCTACACTACAACAAATAAGAATTCATATTTAAATTGCATCCAATCATGCTACCTTTAAAAAAACACATTGTCGTCCTATCACTTACCTCTGCTGTTGTCTTTATCCTCATCTTTTTCTGCACCTTGCTTCTCATCAAACTCCTCAGCGAACATGTCTAGATCATCTTGTTCCTCCTCTAGCGTTTTGGCTGCCTTTCCTCGAGTCAACCCCTTCAGCTTGTAGGCCAGTTTTTCATAAGTCTGCTGATAAATTTCAAATTCTCCAATCCCCACTAGTCTATCTGCCAATGCTGTCAGTTTGTCTAGTTTATCAGCGTCTCTGTTCGAAGTCTCTTTTTTCTCCTCCTCTCCTTCTCGCAGTCTTCCTTTCTTCTTGTGTCCTCCAAGACCGCCAAGTCTTCTCAGAGCAGCAGCCACTGTTTCTCCAGGCCGCATCAGCTCAATGACGGCTTCTGTGAGTTGATGATGGCTGTACGTAGCCAGAGGGTCTTCTGCAGGTCCTTTCTCCTCTTCTTCCTCACTGTCTTTCCGCTGTTCCTCCCGTTTGATCTCCTCTTCTGCTTCGTCTTCATCACCAATTCTTCTCTTCCGCTTAGCTGCAAGGCCTTTCTTTTTCTTCACAGGCTGCTCTTTTATCTTCACCTGTGTGAAGAGATAGTGTGGTTGAGGAAAACATCTCAAATATTTGAACTTTAAGCTTAAACTTTAAAACAACTATTTCTCAATTCATGCAATAAAATGTACCCAGTCAATATTGTCCAGCCAGTTGTCTCTGATATCTTTTTCTTTGTTGACAAAATAGTTTCCCTCTGAATCAAAGTGTCCCTCCTGCATTTCATCAACCAGATTAAAAGGAGTGATGCGTACACCCTCATCACAGTCAATGGTTGCCATTTCCTGGCCTGTAAACGCAAATAAAGTGTAAGAAATAATATTTTAAGTACTGTAAATCCTAAATAAAATAAAAGCAATCTAGCATTTCAAAATGCGTCATTTCTCAGCCTTTTAAACAATCTAACAGCAGGCACTAAAGAGGTCTAGAGGAAGAGTGAAAGAACCATCCTGCAACGTGCATAACATTTATTTCATAAACTTCATGAGGCCAAATTATTAAATCACACACATGGGAGTCACTAGGCCATTTTTAGGGCGTGTGTTTATCGATAGATTGTTATAATATCTGCATCTGTGCAGTTCTTTGTCATAAATCCAGTTTACAAAATATCATGGGGGGAGCAATAATCGGTTCCCCATCTACTGTAGCCTAACACTGCATTCACCCCTCATCACACAACAGCGGCTTCCTCCAGCGAAAATAAACCACATATGAACGCATAGGCCTACTCTATAAAATGATCAGGTTGCCATTTTCATTTGAAAATTTAGCTTTCAATACAACACATATTCCAGTGCATGTGGCAAAGAGGTTTGCATACCTGAGCTAAGGAAACAGGGTTGTACTAGAAATGCAAACAGTAAAATGTTGTGTTTTTCGTACAGTAAACTGGTTGTGTGTGTGTGAGATCACGAAGAATTGAATTTGGCTTATTCAGTACTCAAATGTTACACCCATCTATGCACTACAGTGGAATAAGTTTAGCATACGACCCCTATTAAATCAAACATTTTTATATATACACATATATATATATAAATTATTAGGCTATTAATATACCCTCACTGGGGGCTGAGTCCCCCTAAAATGAAAATCCTAGAATCTCCTGTTCACACACCTTCCACATCATCATTTGCAAGGATGTCATATTTGCTACTATTTTCTCCAACTTCTCCTTCATCTTCCTCATCACTGTCCAAAGAGTGTTTCTCCTTAAATCTAGATCCTGGGCCACTCACACCATCAACAATCTGTAAGAAGACATTGGATAGAGCAGAACAGAGCATAAGAGAATTCACAGTACTGCAAAATCTAAAGTTTCATCAGAATAACAATATGCATGGTAATAACAGGACACTTTGACAACATCCCTTTAAATATAAAGAGTTATAAGAAGCCGACCTTCTTCTTGGGAGCATCTTCCAAAGTGATCTCCCCATCTCCATCCTCAAACGTCACTTTCCTTTTCGACATGCTCTAAGAGGCATAAGACATGTGTACGGTGTACTCATCACATGTACTCATCGAGTATTCTGTGAAAGATTTATGCTCTAAACAATGCCGAGACTCCATAAATCGAATTAATGAAACCTGTACATATGGAGTGGTGTTGAATTTAAAGACAATTAGAGAGACTTAACAGGAAACCAAATTTATAGCAGCTGACCAGAGGGCACATAACTGCATGCCCACATAATAAACTCCATCTAAAATTAGATTAAAGCATTAGGTCTATAATTAATACACATCTACAAAATCTCAACAATATATAATAGAACACAATCTAATATTGGTATCACATTTAATAGTATTTACACCACTGCTGCGCAATGCGCCGAGCTAATGCTGCGAGCGTCCGTGCGGAGCGTGTGCCAGCTAACGCAAGTTATTCAAAAGCCATATAAAATTACCTTCAGCTCGACCGAGACAGACGCTTAACAGACTGGTCAGCTATAAACGAATAGTAATAAGGTAGAAACACATGGTAAAATATTTAGTTACCTGGATGTTATTCTCCCCGCTGCGCCATTCAAGCTAACTAAAAAAAACCCGGAACAACGTCATTCGTGAGATTCTGTCCGAGTCGCCAGAGAGTCGCCACCTGGAGGTGAACCGGATTCTTCTTCTTCTTGCTATTTATTGGCGGTTGACAAACAACAAAACGATGTATTTCCGCCACCAGCTGGTATGGAGCGTGGATCAAAATGATTTACTGCCTGTTCCTTCAGTTATTTTGTAAAATACATCTCAGTGTAAATTGCATTTTTATTTTTTTTCTACATTTTGCATTAGAATCCTTCTTTCAGTCTCGTATTTACTTTGAATTCTGTAAAACCACCGACCTTTTTTCTCCTTATCCCAATGGTTTTGCCACCTTTCCTTCAGTCTTTTCTTAATAATACTCTTGATTTCATTCTTACTTAGATTAACAATTAAGTTAATGTCGTTGTTTTTAACTGCTTCTTTTGCTTCTTTATCTGCAGTTTCACTTCCTTGGATACCAATATGCGCCGGCACCCATACAAATACTACCCTAGATGTAATCCCCATCATTTGAATTGCATTATTTCCATTAAAATGTCTGGTCTACTTTACACTCTATCTACAATCTCCTGATTAACCTACCAAACACCCTTGATTCTTGTACCGCTAAGAGACTTCATAGAGCTTCATCCGGCGCTGCGTGTTCAGCTCCTCCGTCCTCCCTCAGCCCTCTTAAGCGGGATTTGGTGAACCGGATTCTTCTTCTTCTTGCTATTTATTGGCGGTTGACAAACAACAAAACGGTGTATTTCCGCCACCAGCTGGTATGGAGCGTGGATCAAAATGATTTACTGCCTGTTCCTTCAGTTATTTTGTAAAATACATCTGTGTAAATTGCATTTTTATTTTTTTTCTACATTTTGCATTAGAATCCTTCTTTCAGTCTCGTATTTACTTTGAATTCTGTAAAACCACCGACCTTTTTTCTCCTTATCCCAATGGTTTTGCCACCTTTCCTTCAGTCTTTTCTTAATAATACTCTTGATTTCATTCTTACTTAGATTAACAATTAAGTTAATGTCGTTGTTTTTAACTGCTTCTTTTGCTTCTTTATCTGCAGTTTCACTTCCTTGGATACCAATATGCGCCGGCACCCATACAAATACTACCCTAGATGTAATCCCCATCATTTGAATTGCATTATTTCCATTAAAATGTCTGGTCTACTTTCCGAGTGACTGTATTGTAAACTAGCAAACGATGAACATGAATCTGTACCAATAACTGATTTCAAAGGTCTTATCTCTTCTATCCACTGTATTGTTAATAATAGTGCAATCATCCCCAGGTGAACCGGATTAATGACACCCACTGCGATTAAAGCGCTTGTGTGACCTCACGTCCATCACTTGATCTGCTTGAACATTTTACAAAAACCTCCTGTTTTACGCTTCCAAATGAGTGTTCTGTTATTATTGTTTATGTTACAGTTAACACTAGCTTGTATGCTTCCCGGAAACATCTCACTCTTTGGATAGAGAAAAAACTCTTTATTGTAAATATAGTGCGTCTCTATGAAAACTAAATACAAAAAGGAGCAGAAACTGTGCAAAAACCACCACTATGCAAATGTACTGTTCTGATATAGTTTCTAGTAAATATTTAATGAGAGCCTGAATTAGAAACATGAATCAGTAATATGCAGAGTAGGCTACGTTATCTGTTTTTATATATTTATAAGTTTATACTTCCCTCATTTTTCTGTCCATACATAAATTCATTCATCGGGGCTGTGAAAGCGCACATGTCGCTGCTGTTTCATCATGAAGTCTAAAGAGAATAGTGCATCGGCTTTTGTTACCAGGAAGTGGGTCGCGTTATTTATATTTCACCACTTGCAAGACCGGCGTGAGGGCGCGCTGGTAATACGAAACTTCTAATATCATTCTGTTCTTTATGCGATTCCCCGGGATTGAGGAGCTTGGCCTGAAGTGATGTTTTGCCACTAAGGTTGTATGTAATCCATGATAAATCAACGGAAAGACATTGACAAAAGTAAGTTGTTGCACCTGACAAACACTGAGTCGTTCTGTCACTGTTCCGGTCACAATTATTTGCCACTTTTGTTTATCCTTTTATAAAGCGCATATTGCTGCTTCAAGAAGGACACAATATTTACGTGGCACTATATTTGTGGCTGACTAGCACGCTGACAGACACAGCGTGAACCGGATAGACAAGTTATTCACGTATGATTTCATACTTAAAAAAAAGAAAAAAGAATGACGATGGCAAATTTGATTTATCCATGGGTTTTCATTTCTGTTCATGTAAAGCTCGATCGCCCTGTGCTCGCGCCAGGACACGGCTGCACGCCAGGTGGCGTTGTAATGAAGATCCATGAAAAGATTCTAACCCACTACCTGTCCTGCACTTCACCTGTAGATAAAGAGGGATACCTCTACAAAAAGGTAGGTACCTGGATTTGTCAATTTACCCACATAATATTAAAAGTAATCTAGAATGCTAGAATGTTTGGAAAAGCTGAATCATTCTAACCAGTTTAGAGTGTTGTGAGTGTCAGATTTGTTTACGATGCAAGTGCTTAGGAAAGTGAAGTACATTATATCTGAGACATCGTATCTTCTTCATGATGCATTACAGACTTTACCTTCAGGATCATTGTATAGATCCCTTCATGCAAAAACAAATAGATTTATATTTTCTTTTTTTGTTTCAATTTACCTGCTCAATTCAAATAGGAAAAGGTACATTTTTAGGTTATTGTACAACTTCAAATAAATGGTAAAAGTAAAGATAATAGTGGCAAGCAGGACTATATGATTCGTTAATGAAATTGTTATTTTAAATGATCTCTAATAATAATCTGTTTATTACCAATATTTCAGAACAAACTAAAAATAAACCACCCTCCTATCTGTAAATTTTACCATGGGAGAAACAGGGTTGTTACACTTATTTGATAGACACTTATTAAAAGCAGCCTTTGAGCCATTTCTTTATTAGTGACATTAATTCAGGTTCAGAATATATCAGTCTTCTGTGCATTACAAAAAATGTTTTCACATCTCCAGTGTTTCTCTGTCCTGTACATTCTAGAATAAATTTCTCCCTCCTTATCCTACCTGTGTTTGAACTATTACCATATTTCTTTTCTGCAGAGAGAGAGGAACACCACTTACCTGCGCCGCTGGTTTGTGTTGAAGGGGAATCTGCTATTTTATCAGGAGCGTCCAGGCGATCGTAACCTGTTGGGTGTGATTGTTCTGGAGGGCTGCTTGGTGCAGGCGTGTGAGACAGATGGTCAATTCTGTTTCTCTTTGGTGTTCACTGGACCAGGCCTCCGCACATATAGACTAGCCGCTGATGACCATCTCTGCCAGGAGAGCTGGATCGGTGCACTGTTCTGCGCTAGTCACATTTACCTTTCCATGATTGTCAGAACCCTGGAGAGACGCTACGAAGGTGAGTTTATGTATATGTGTTTTCTGTGTCTACTGGCTTGAACACAATTAACATGTCTGATTGAAGTTTTACATGCTCTTAACAAAACAGAAGCTAGAAGAGACAAAGGCCTTTGTGATTCCATCCAGACCTCTGCAGTGACCTCTACACCCAATAAGATAATGGCTTCCTGGATCACAGGACAACCCTATTTCCTACATGGGACTTCCATAGTGCCTAGAGATGGGCGAAGCTACAGCACCAGTTCTGTAACACTTCCATCTATGCCGAACAGACCCATCAGCTATAGTCTTCATGCCCCTCCTATTCAGTTCAAGACTACCAATAAGCGATCTCCAAAGCTCTGGCCCAAGAGAAATGCCCATGTTACACCCTTAAATGGTCCGGCACCATCTTTTGGGGAGTGGCCTGTTGTGGGCTTTGATCCTTTGGAAGAGTTTAGTAAACTGCATGAGTACTATGGAAATGAGATTAAGCAACTAAGAGCTGATTGGCTGAGGAAGAAGCCTGAGGAAGTGGGATACGTTGAGGAAGACCTCATTGACCTTGGCTAGAGTAGCATCTGAACCTATCACATATGCATTTGTTCATGTTGTCGTCTAAATAGTAAATCTTGTTCTAAACAATAGACTGATGAATGTATTAAGGATGCAGTAAATGTAATACTGCAGTAGTAGAATCCTGCTGTCTTTTTAATTTTATGAAGGTAGGGTTGGGCGATGTCTACCAAATTGGCATTGGACGATGTCTGGGGGGGGGGGGTTTGATTCCATATGCAGAAAGGCACAGAAAACAAATAACGCGTTCTACGTTGTTCTTGTCTGACAGGACATTGGTGAATGATTTGCAGATACTGAGCACCACTGACAACTATCTAATCTTGTAAAATGTGTGGTAGGTAAGGCCACTCCGTAGTATAGAGTCCATGTGATTGCGAATCTCGAAAGTGAAAGTAAAATGAGAGCACGCATTTGAAAGTGGTTTCAACGCCCTGCATATTAGTAGCGGCTCCCTGATGCCTGCAATTTATATACAGTATAATTACCCAACGATATAATTGCGAGAGAAAATCTAGCGGTAGTTAGTTCTGGCAGGTCACGTTAGTCAAGCTCGCATCAGCTGATCCCCATCAACCTATGGGAATACGACACCTATCTAAGTATTCATATATAAGGTCCCGCAGTAGTATCAACAGTTTTCGCATTGCGCAATAGCTAATTACCCTCCTCCATCCCCAACTCCTCCTCTGTCAGTCAGGGTTCAGCCTTCTGATTCTCCTTTGAATCAGACTAATTCTAAAGTACCACCAATCCAAACTGTATGCTAATTGTCTATCATCTTTGACGATAGTGGTCCTGACAGAAGTATTGAAATATTTTTTTTATCCTCCCATCTCGTAGGCTATTTATTCCCTTTAGGGGTTCCGTAATACACTTAATTTCCTTTCCGAACATGGAATTGGGATGTGGCAGATTGTGGGGGGTATGGGGGGGGGGATCACGATGCCGGCTCAACATCTTGATGTCTGCCAGCCATCGGCGATGGACGATGACATCGTCTATCGGCCCAACTAAGGTATGCAGATTAGCACTGACTGACACCGATCTTGTGCGTTTCTCATTTCCTCTCTGTGGTCTCTCAGCCTATTCCTTCTCGCTTGAATTGTCATAAAACAGACCCAAAACACCAGTAGCTTTACCCCCATCATTTAACCTAACTGTGTGCAGACATTTACAATGGCAAATTTTCTTATTGGATCCAAAGTGTTTCATATACGTTCAAATGAAGTTTGATTAGAGATTACATATTAGTTGTAGAGCTGTGAATGCTCGATAATAATTAATATTTAATTTATTGTTAGATCTTTTAAAATATGTACCGAGGGAGCCTATCACTAATGTGATCTCGTGAAGAGGGCAACACAAGTGACTGTTTAGTTCTAACTTACAGAACTTAATTCACACAGCTCAGGAGGCTTCGTAAACAAACTTAAAAACACGCCCTTTCTATTCTTCCTCTTTCACAACGTCTCAATTCTTTGGGGATGTAGATGTGCCTTTTTTCTTTTAGTTTCTAGTTCACTCAACACATTTGGAACATTTAACACATTATTTAAAAAGTAACCGTTTTATATTACGGTCATATCAGTAAACATTGAAATAAACTGTAAAGTTTGTGTGCATTAAGCATTTCAGTAATGCAGCTCTATACTGTAGGTCACCAGAAGGCACTGCATTTCACCAACAGTATTACTACCTTTATTCAGGCATGCTTCATTCACAGGGTCACTAGTTGCTTTACAACTGATATTTTATTAGATAATGTCATGTGTGTAATTATATATGGATGATATCAGTAATGTTGCATGTGTTTTATTGTATAAATGTTTTATATAGTCACAGTTTCTATAACCATCTTATTTTAATATAGATCAATTTTGTGTTAATAATACATTTGATTTGATGCATATTGATGATAATTTGTTCAGAGATCAATTTGATTATTTTATCTAGTATTTATCCTCTAATGTATATTATAATCAACTCTGTAAAAATAGGTTTAATTTAATAAGTTACATTTTGAGTGTATTTCAGCACTGCATATTGCACAGCATCAGTAAGAACATTTTTAAAAACAGTAGGGTTGTTTGATGTTAGTACGTTAGTATACATTTTATTTTACTTTACTCAACTTTTATTGTGAACTTTTGTTTTATTGTATCAAACTAGAATAAAAGTCCTAATAAATTGTTCTGTTAAGATCTTAATGTTATTTTATTTGATTTATTTTTAATGTGGACAAACTAATCTCTTCATCACCAGATATTTTGGGTTGTATAATGATTCATAAAACCACGTTATGAAGTTTTATGTGGATTCTGTGACATACATCAAAGCTCTGACAACAAAAAACTACAAATGCCTTAAGTGTTGGATGCAACATGAAGCTCCTCATTTCAACCATAACCTCTGCACACTGCAGACTTCAGGTATGTCAAACCCCTACAGCGACGATGTGGCCTTTTTCACCTCATCCGGATTCCAGTCATCTCTGCCGGGATAAACAGCTTTGACGATACATGTCAGAGTAGATCACGTTACACGTAACGTCCTGTACGTATAGACATGTATACTTTGACAGTCCATAAACAAAACAAAGATGACTGACACAGTGGCCTACACTATGAAGATCTAAATCACAGATGTATACACAACCTGATCGGTCATCAGTCAGACATACTTGAAAAGGGTCTACAATGAACTTGTTTAAGAAAATCCTTCTGACATGAAATATCTCATATCAAGGCCTACACTTCCTCTGACCCAGGCTTTCCTTCCCCTCCCTGTTGATCTCTAATACACTCTTTGAATGCTGTTCCACCATATATAGTTATAGGAGGGGTGTATTAATATAGCATAGGCTATACCATATCTAATTTGAGAACCAGTCTAATCATTCAGCTGCTTTTTCAATGTTATCAATATATGGAAATACAAGAAAATTAAATGCTTTAAGTGTATGTATGCATTTCCTTTTCAAGTTTGTTATTACCTTAAGCTCAGACTCACAAGGTATCAAATGAGCCTAAATGAGGAAAATAATGCAAAACAAACTCTTGGATTGCTATAAGTGGACAAGGACGTGACAGATGGATTAAACAGAGAAGAAAAGGAGAGTGCAAGGAGCAGACAAGTTTGTTTGGCTATTTTGGTCACTCTCAGCTGTCCATTGCCCCCGCCTCTCCAAAAGAACCTGTATTAAGCCTCAGATTTCACTTCATGCGTTTCCCATACCAAACCCTCAATGGGATGCATTGTGTTGATCATCTCAAACTGAAAGAAAAGACGATAATTACGTGGCCATACAAGAGCAGCTTCCCTTGAACCATCACAAACTGCGTCTCACTGTGACTGCAGAGTGACCGAGCAAGGTCAAAGAGCTCCAGGGAGAGAGCGTGTTGAATTTGGGCATGGCCATGTGGAGGGGTGAGGTGGGTGGGGGGACTTGGACCCAAATCTTATGGTATCACTATACTAGGAAAGGCATTAAAAACTATTTTTGATTAGGGCTGTTTTGGAAAGAGGTGACAAGATGGCAAGGGTTAAGATGCCACAACAGTCTCTTATACATCAGATGGGGGCGTGTACACACATATGAACAAGATAATCATTGGCTCAAAAAATCTCAGGATTTACATCAATCAGTATCTATTATTGCAACCTCCCCCATCCCAACCCCAGAATTCAGATGTAACACTGAAAACCAAATATTGATCCGCCACTAATCTAAATAGGGGTAGGAGTCGAGTCCCCCAAAGTGTCTATGATTACACCCCATTAATTTCAAATTGCTTGAGTTATGTGATTGTGTGAAGTTCAAACAGTCTCTTACGTCTCCATGTCCTTATTAGTCTACGTGAGACACGCAGACTACTGCCATCAGTATCAGATTCATCCAATTCCAAGACTCCAATAGCTATTTCTGAGCACTGTAAGATGATAGTGCATCCCACCCTATGATCCTTCATCACTTTACCCCTACCTCATCTCTCTCCCCTTTCATAGTTTTCCCTGTCTCTATTTCTTTCCTCTGTCTTTTTCCCAAGCCACACTTAAGGTTGGATCTATAATTAGCAAGGGGCCTTCGGCAGTATATAAGCCGCCAAGGAACAAGTCACTACGCGGCTTCAGTCTTCACTTCTTGAGCTTCTTAGAGTTCACACATACCGTCTCAGCATGGTGAGTAACCTGAACCTTAGATGTTACCTGGCCACACCATCTAGGTGGACACATACAGTAGGAACCAAGGACATAATGCCTCAGTCTCAGAAGGGTTGAATGGAAGAGAGCTTGCATTTTGAATCAGCGTCTGATTCTTGGATAATTGAACTGTGGACTTATAATAACTTTAACAGGATTTGATAAACTGGGCAATTTTTCTGAAGCTGCTCTTTCTGAACCTATGTTGTTGGAACCAGGACCAGCAGTTATAAACCGTTAAACTGAGTGGTTTTGCTTTCTCTTCCCATGAAATATGGTATTTTTTTGTATTTTTTTATTTTATGTAAGATGCCAAATTAAGAAAATATTGAATATTTCAAGTTTCACCAGAACGCATAATATGCTAACGTAAAGCTAATGAATACGGTTTTATTAATCATTGAGGAGTATCCTATGCAAACGTCATTATTTGGATGTATATCACATGTAAAAATGTGTGTTTCATTAGAATGTGGCTGAACAGGGTTTTATTAACAATAAATATGTTAAAATGTCTTATGAATGAGAGTCTTGTGTCTCTAAGCTATGTGTGGCACTGCAATGTGAGTGTCTGATTTTGTTTTTCAAATTATGTCATCATGTATTATTGTTAACAACACAGAGGAAATATGCACTATTCAGCTGTACTGAATGTAAAAAAACAAAAATTATTTCTAGTCACCCAAGAAGGCCAAGAGGAGGGCAGGAGGAGGAGAGGGTTCCTCCAATGTCTTCTCCATGTTTGAGCAGAGCCAGATTCAGGAGTACAAAGAGGTAAATATTTTTTCAGATCT